CATTTTGTAAGGCCGATACCCGTAATTTAAAAGTTTTAAGCGACACAAAAATGTACTTTATACTAGTTGTAAATTCGGAACTTAGTGCGGTGTGAGATCACGTGGTTAAAGTATAACAACTTTGCCGCGCGCAATTAGTGCGAGATTTTGACGAGTTTAGTATAAATCTCACCCCAATATCGCGAGTCTGGCTGCGAGATTTCGGCACCCTCTTTCAGCACTACATACTCGGACGCGCTTGCATTTTCATTGCTTTTCAGCGTGTTTATTCTTCTTTACTATGCAACGGCCCCATAATACTATTCCTCAACTTGCTGGCCTTTTCGTCTTTATCATCAAGCCGACTTTTCATGGTCATTGAACTTTTGGTATTGATTGTTTGAATTATTACTGGTTGTGTTACTCTGACGGCTTACTTTTCTGTACTGTCTAAGTCTTAAAGGATACTAGTTGTTGTCGATATTAATCGGTTTATAAGATCAAGATTCACAGTGGTTACTATATAATAGTTACCATGGTTACCATTAAAGGAGGTCCGGTAATGGTCGAAATCTCAAGGTACTATTCCTGGCTACAGTCGACTCCATCTTTCTCAGAATATACTTGACACTGCCATAGGCACAGTGGATATTTCTTCATTAAAAGTTTGAAAAAGGGTCTCTTCAACTGTAGACCTGACTTATTAATCCTAGCAGGTAATTAACTCTGGATCCTCATCACACTGATTCCATTCTAAATTCTAGCCATAAACAAAACAAATATTACCAGATAACTCCGTTTACCATAATTTGATATGTTCCAGTATGAACGAGGCCTTCCCCGGCCAAATCCTTAAATGCCAGTCTTCTCTAGCTGAAGTACGAACTGTATAATTTATCAGATAAAGTATATTACAAGGTGCTCTGATGATAATTTTAGTAAAATAATTAATAATTGCCAAAAGATTGACCGTCGACAAGACTCGAACCCGGGATCAGCTGCTTAACGGCCGTGCCCTAAACTGGGGCGCTACGTGAGGCTTATCAGATTTACAATATGTAACTTAATATACTTCATAAAAATACACACTTAAATTTTTCGTTATGTATGGATCCAAATTACAGCGGCATACTTTTTTTTTAATCTCACACTTATTTTACTTCGGAGTATTCCAACAGCCACATTGTTACACAAGTGTAACTAGCCAATTACAGGAAGCCGAAGGATTTAATTAGGCCAGTGACGGTTAAGGTAGTGTGTACCATACTTTCTTCGCCCGAGACTTCGCTGCAATGGACAGCTCCTCATTTAACCCTCACACACGATTTCTCGAATATTCGGCTGAGTAGACCGGGGGGCTGCATAGACCACTCAGGATCTTTAGCTGAATGTCGACGACACTCACCCCACGACTAGGCAGGCAGTGGGTTTCGAACTCGCAATCTCACGATTACAAATCCGATGATTAACCAACTACGCTACCTGGCCGTTGAAACTTACAATTCTGAGAAATAAACATCGAGCGACATACTTACAATTTCGCTTGAAAGGGAAATCTTTTTAAATACAAAGTAATTTGTGGGGCAAGAAATTTTGCAGGCTGGGGGGGGGGGGGGGGGGGGGGGGGGGAAATCGCACTTTTAGTCTCAAAATCCAATCTCATCGCACTTTTTTTAGAATCTTGATAGGGGAAGAGAAGATGCGCTAGATGAAGAGAAGGATTGGAGATGAGTTTAGAGAGGGTGAGCTGGTGGAGAACAAGTGAGGGGTTAGTGGAGGAGGATGATGAGGATAGGAGGGTAAGGAGGCTGGTGGACTTAAGGAAGAGGCGGGAGCTGGAGTAATCAGACCATCAGTGCCTCTTGTTTTAGACAGAGTGCCATCTACTGCAGACAACAGAAATAATTTTTATAATTTATTTATTCATTTTAATAAGGAGACAGACAATTTTATAAAGATAGGATGTTTTATTTCATTGGTATTTTGATGTTTATAAATTTAAAATTTTTTATTGGATATTTGTTATTGATTATATTGGGGATTTGGTCGATTCGATCTGCGCCTCATTTGTAGGCGCGGATCCAATCGATCAAATTGGCCCGGGGAGTATGGTGTGGTGTAGTTTAGTAGATCCACAGTGTTGCTAGGCTTTAATTTTATATTTTAATATTTTAATTAACCGTTTTTTGCCACTTCTTAAATTTAATATTATCTCAAGCATCTATTTTATATTCGCACCATTTTTACTTTGGGACTTATCTATAGTTCTTCGGCCTATTTTATATTTATCAGATTTTACGAGCCTTTTGATTTTAAGAGATAAGGTTTTTGGGGAAATAAGGGGACTTCTGAAATTGTCACCCAGTATTGGTCAAGATTCGGTGCTCTTCTCGAATTATTAGTTCTAGAAGAGAACTAGATAATCTCACTACAGTGTCTGCTCTTCTGTTTCCCTAACATGGATACGATTATACGAGGATCATTCTTCGTTTATCTGCAAATCTTTAAAAAGATGTTCAGAAAGAGTGTAAAATGATAGATACGAAGGAAATCAATATAATTATAGTAGTGATCGATGTAAAAGTAATTAATGTAATATTACTAATTAATGTAATATTACTAATCAATGTAATAGTAAACATTCATAATTAAGAGTAAGTCATCTAGCAAGTAATTAATTCATTATAAATGTGATATAACGTGATCCCATTTTGACAGAATCGTAAAGAGTGGCATGCTCTTTACAACAAGGAACTATCACGTTAAGAAGAAGCTGAAAAGCAGGGACAGCTTCTTTTATTCCGTCAAGAGCAGCGTTTTTGGAGAGATCATAGAAATCGTTAAAATTGAGATTGAATATTTTGTTTTATCTTTTTATACAATGTTTTCAAAACTGATGACGTCCTATTTTGTGTAGTGAATAAACTAAACTTTGCAAATTTTGGAGAATTTTCTTCCACGTGCGACATTTTACCCCCACGAGATGTAACTAAAAAGTGTATTCTGTTGCAATTCAGTTTTCGTTGTTGTATGATGTACGATATGAACAATAAAGAAGGAACGTAATCCCATTTTGACAGAATCGCGAAGAGTGGCATGCTCTATACAACAATGAACTATCACGTTAAGAAAAAGCTGAAAAACAGGGACAGCTTATAGAGATAATAGAAATTGTTAAAGTAGAGAATTAATATTTTTTATTATAAAATATTTAAAATAAAATATTTATAGATAAAAAAACATCTGATCTTGTGTACGGTAGTGAGATTTCATATATTCATTCCTTTTTATTATTCTATCGAGAAGAAGATTTTCATTTCCACCAGAAAGTTTTCATTTCCACCAGAAAGTGGCTCCGTAGTTCCACGTATTTGATGTGAACTGGTTAAGTAATTTTCGTTTTTACTCTGTCTGCAAATCTTTAAAAAGATGTGCAGAAAGAGTGTAAAATGATAGATACGAAGGTAATCAATATAATTATATAAGTAATATATTATAGTAGTGATCGATGTAAAAGTAGTAATTAATGTAATATTACTAATCAATGTAATAGTAAACAGTCATAATTAAGAGTAATTCATCTTAATTACCACAGTAATTTTGTAATTACCGCATCTTGCTCTTGACCCTCAGCTGAAATTACCGATTCAACGGCGACTAATTATATCATAATGAACACGGCCTGTTTTTCGTCTGTGTTACGGCCCGTTTTTGGAGCTAACATACCTTCTATTTGGCTAGTACCTACAGTAGCACCGGAAGTCTTGGCGTTGAGCCTTGAAAACAAGAGTGCTCTAACTGCCCAAACAATAGCTGGTAACGAATTCTGCAATATCATTATAATTAACAAATAAACACTTTTTGTCAGCAGTCAAAAGTTCTCCAGCAAGGATCAAACTTAATCCCGACAACATCAAAGATATTTACTTGCTATATAATATGATATAAAATATAATGTTTATTTAAAGATTTAAGTCCTGAACTTACAGGCAAAAGGGGTTTATTATTAATACATATTATTAATTAAAAAACAGCTGGTATAGTAGAAGGGCTGTGAAATAATACCTAATATTTACATAATTAGTTTTATGATTCTATTTATACTGATGGGGGGATACAACGGTCATTAATGTGCATTAATGTGCATTAATGGGCATAAATGGGCATTAATGTGCATTAATGTATATGTATATTTCAGCAAAATTCTATAATACTGACATTAATGACCAGGTTTTTTTGCAATCCTTTCAAAATTTCGTGTACGTAATACTTATTTTACAACATTCTCGCTCACATGAGCTTGATTGTTGGTGTGCGTGTATGAGACGACGTAAATAGGAACAACAATATTTTTAAAATAATTGCGCTGAGGTTGGAAGTACGATAACCATATTAAAACTGTTGGTAGTTCCAGATAATTTTTCTATTAAATATGGGCATTAATGTGCATTAATGGGCATTAATGTGCATTAATGGGCATTAATGTGCAAAATTTTAAAATACTGCCATTAATGCCCATACTTTTTTCCCATTTTTCTATTAAATATGGGCATTAATGTGCATTAATGGGCATTTATGTGCATTAATGGGCATAAATGGGCATTAATGTGCATTAATGTATATGTATATTTCAGCAAAATTATATAATAATGACATTAATGACCGTTGTAACCCCCCCCCCCCCCCCCCCCCCCCCCATACTGATATCTGGATAATATCCGGTTGGAAGAGACAAGGACAAGTGAAACAAGGAAGTTAGGAGTAAGGGCAAATTTTCGGCGTCAACGCCATCTTCAGGCTAAAATTGGTATAAATGTTAGTATATAATTCTAAATGCTTCTATACTAGTTAAAATTTGCTAAATTGAAATTACATACACTGAATACAGGTTACATCAAATGGTATGTATTTATACCAATTTTAGCCTGAAGATGGCGTTGACGCCGAAAATTTGCCTTCATTCCTAACTTCCTTGTTTCACTTGTATTGTCCTTGTCTCTCAACCGGATATTATCCAACTATCAGTATATATATACGATTTGGTACATACCAGGGGCGGGCTTGTTCCTTTTCCTTCTCTTAGAACACTTCAGCTCTTCCTTAAACTCCTCCAATTCTCGCTTGTAGCTCTTCATCTCTTCCTTCACCTCCTCCAATTCTCGCTTGTAGCACTTAGTCTTCTCCTTCACCTTCTCCAAATCCTGCTTGTACGGTGCAAGGGCATCCTCCATTACTCTCTTCATTAACTCATAGTTGTGGAGCGGGCCGATAACTTGGGAGAAAGGTGTCGTGGGGGTGCTCGTCATGGGAGACCAATGAGTCCTGAAGAGATTCAGATAAATAATGATAAAAATTTAGACGTAATTATAAATTGCATGGATATCAATTTTATTTAAAACATACTTCCAAGATATTGATTGTGCTTAACTAATGTACCATACCGAACTTTATATGTACCTTGATATGCTAGTCGTAGGGGAGGGACTTAGAGGCTCGATGGTTGGGGACCTGAAACAATTATATAAGGAAATAAAGATAAAGCATCATCTTATTTCATGTTTAATGGACATAGTTAGTTATGTCTAGCGTGTTGTTTAAAGAGTAAATTCGTGTTGTTCAAAGAGTAAATTACTCCTAAGAATCATAATGAAATTTGTTCAGATTTGTTTTCGGGAATAATTTAAAGTAGTAAAATGTGCATGCAGCCATGATTATTTCCCACAATATGTAATATAGATTGATAGTTAATAACGAAGTAAGATTCTCCACTCGCAAAATTCGTCACCAACTATTCAACTTTATGATCTACGTCATAAGAGTGAAGAAAGATTACAAATATACAATAACAATAGAAGAGTCGATTATATGGAATAAAATATAGGGGTAGACGTAGTATAATGCTGTTTATGTTAAGAACACATACCTGGGTTCATGTTCCACTGTAGCAGGAATGAGTTGGCTGAAAATAAAATGTCAGTCCAGGTAAGGGGCAAAATTTTCTATTTCGAATCTATTTCGAAACTTTCTTCTAAAACATTTTCTGACATAATATAGTGATAGTAGAGCTTCTGTCAGCTGATATGAAAAAGATACTTGAATATAATTACGAAACACCAAAACCTAAATATAGACTTATTCTACAGTCTCATTCCCCACCTGTACCTCATAATATGGAATGCTAATTGCTATCTAGTCTCTATGCTATAAAAATATACCTTGATTCCTGAGCTCTAGGGAGGTCCTGTTCCACTGCAGCAGGAAGAAGTTCACTGAAAATAAAATTCCAGTTCAAGTAAGGGGCGAAATTTTCTATTTCGAATCTATTTCGAATCTATTTCGAAACTTTCTTCTAAAACATTTTCTGACATAATAGTGATATAATGAAATAGTAGAGCTTCTATCAGCTGATATGAAAAAGATACTTGAATATAATTACGAAACACCAAAACCTATTATATAGACTTATTCTACAGTCTCATTCCCCACCTCATAATATGGAATGTTATCTAGTCTCTATGCTACAAAAAACAATTTTCTTTAAGAAAATATACCTTGGTTCCTGAGCTCTAGGGAGGTCCTGTTCCACTACAGCAGGAAGAAGTTCACTGAAAATAAAATGCTAGTTCAAGTTAAGTTCTAAATTTATGAGAGCGTCTTTTAATTATAATATCCTCAGAGAAAAGAGAACATTGATAGTAGCGAAAAGAGAATATTGATAGTAAAGCTGTCGGCTTATATGTAAAAATTAAAATAACAGAATTTTAGATAAATGAATTTTAAATCAACCCCGCCTCTTGTTTAATACCCACTATCTTATAACTTACATTGACTCCTGTACCGATTGCAATATTTCCTCAGGGAGAATACTGAAATAAAATTTCATTTTAAGCGTTTAGTTTGGCCTTTCGTGGATAACAAAATATAAGCATTTGAAAGTAAATAAGGATCGATCGGGACTACTCTTTTCGTACCTTGATAAAGAGCCATACGTAGATAAGGCTCTTTTCCCAGACTCTTCCTTATTTGTCTTTGATTTTCTTGGGGCAAGTTTCTTTTTTACGTTTGTGCTGCAATAAATTTTGAAGTTTATGGTCACATAATCACTTATCGAAAACAATAATCCAGGCTTTCAAATTTGTGATGATGGATACGGCATTGTTCTGCAAGCAATCAGAGGAATTCAATATATCCTATTAAAAATGGTATGTATAAATGTCTCTGCTGTTATTTTAAAATTTCCTTGAACCTAAAGTATCCAATTATATACATATTAATTTCAAGTATAAATTTTATCTCAACACTTATTTTACTTCGGACATGCCAACAGCCACATTGTTACACAAGTGTGTAACCAGCCAATTACAGGAAGCCGAAGGATTCAATTATACATTAGGCCAGTGACGGTTAAGGTAGTGTGTACCATACTTTTTGCAATGGGCAGCTCCTCATTTAACCCTCACACCCGATTTCTCGAGTATTTGGCTGAGTGGACCAGGGGGCTGCATAGACCACTCAGGATGCTTAGCTGAGCGTCGATGACGCTCACCCCTCGGCTAGTGACAGAGTCGGGAATCGAACCTGGTACCTCAAGCAATACCAGGCGGATTAACCAACTGAGCCACTAAGCCGTTAAATAGAGAAACACATACTTCCTTATCTTCAACCTGCTCTGGTCATCGATCAGTTCATCCTCGACCTGTTTCTTTTGTTTCTGGTCTGAAATGTTACAAAATGAATTGCACATACGGTTAAAATTCGAAGATCTCCATGATCAAGTGATCCCATCGCACCAAAACTACAGTGTTGTCGATAGTATCTTTATATTTTCAAAATTGTTCTCCAGATTATAGATCAATAAGTGTTATCCTGATTAGAGACCAGCAAGTGATACGATAATGTAATGCAAATTTTTAAATATAATAGTTTTACAATAGTTAAATAGTTTATACTTTTGTGTTTCAATTATGATAGTGAAGTCTTGGCCGTAGCACGTTAGGCACGGGTTACACTTAAAATGCTTACCAGTTATGAGCTGCATTATTTCCACAGGACAGGTCTCTGCCTTCTTTTCCCCACTCTTCCCCACTGTTTCGTAAGTCACGAAGTATGTGTCCCCTTTGGCTACACTGGAGCAGTCGGCTCTCTCATTTGATTCAGTGTACTGAAAAATTGAAATTTAAGTCCATCTAGTATTGAAATTGAATCCCATCGATTGTAGCAGTCATAATTGAAATGTTACAATATGATATTATCATTCTTACAAATCTGTCGACAGGGAGAATCTCTGCGGGTTCTTGGGGCAGATCTTTGAATCTGATTAAAGCCCATTTCGGTCTGATGGTATCATCCAATTTAATGGCTCTTCTTCTTTTTGTTGAGCTAAGACTTCTTTCTGGCATGGCTAAACATGGCACAACATATAAATTTATTTGTTTATCATTAGAATCAGGTTAAATATTAGTAATGAATAAAAGCTTGATAGTAGTAAAAAACAGGTTACTGTTGTTTTCAGTACAATCAATCAATATCAATACAAATTATTGGGGAAGGGGGGGGGGGGGTTGGGCGACCATATATATATGTTTTTTTTCTCGATTTTGACCCGGGATATACTTTAATATACTTTAATCTACTTTGATATACTTTGATGTACTTTAATATACTTTAATATACTTTAATGTACTTTAATGATTTGATTTGAAACTTTTACAAAATAGCAAATATACAAATGTACAGCAAATCGAACAACATATAAATTGGGCCGAAATGTATAAATGCTATAAAGCGTGGGTCAGTGAAACAAGTACAGAGAACAACTTTTAAAACAGGAGTTTTATGGCCGCCCAAAGCCTCAATAACATCACCTCCACCTAGTAATAAAATTATGAAATATGATAAGTGTGAAACAATCAAATAATAAAGTATTTAAATTATATAATTGTCTCTCAAATACAGATAACATCCGAAAACTCATAAAATTCTCATCACTCCTACATATACTGATCAGTGTCCGAGAGACATAAATAACTCATGATGGCTTTTTATCACGGCTAAATACCTTCCCGTACCGGATATAGTGGTTGAGATGAGTCTGTTCAGCCCTCTTCTTCTTCAGGTCAGTTACCAGATGCTTCCTTTAATATACCTACATTATCTCGATTCAAAATTTGAAAATTTAGTCACTTAATGCCTGTAACAGAGCTCGACCGGGATACCGGCCAGTATTTGGCGATTTCGTTCTGGTACCGGCCAGGATTTTGGTTTTAGATGGGAGTTTGGCCAGGATTTTTCCAAAATAAATTCAGTTCTTTCAACATAAATTTGAGTCCAAAATTCGCAAAACTGTAAACATTTTCCTTAAACATTTTGATGAAATCATTGAACAATTGAGACTGGAGTCTTTTTCTCTTTTGATTAGTCGGTAGTCGGCGTCAACAGTAAGCCTTCCTTACAGTGGCTTTCACAATGCATCCCCATTCTCTAACTCCTGTTGCCGAAGAGAGAGACTCCCAAATTATATACCATAAATAATATTAAACATAAATGTCGACAGTCTTGAAGTTCTGTTACCACGGACTACCACCCCTGGTGCAACCCCGCCGGGTTAACGAGGGAGAGACAGGGAGGTCATGGCCTGCTACGTGCAACTCGTAAGAGACTGGAGTCAATATAGATTTAAAATAATCATGGGTTTCATGACGTCGATTCAAGATTTTCTTTTAAGAGTTATGGACTTCTTTCTGACTTTAATGCTAGAAATATGACTTGTGACTTAATCATTGTGACTAAGTGTCACAGCTCACGGTACTAGCGTTTGGTGAAATAACTCTCCAGGGAAGCATTTTAACCCTACGTCATGGGGGGTGATTCGGAATCAGCGTCCAAAAATACACCGATCTAGATCACTTTCATGCCTAAAGGGCCTTTTCACAAGAATTTTCTTAAAATTTGGGCGAGTGATTTAGTAGGAGCAAATTTATAACGATATGATTATCTTTGGTTTCATCGTTATGTGACCAAAAAACGCTCTATACATCTTCATATCACTGGGAAGTTTACCTGAGGACCCCAGGCTTTAATGTTGTTAAACAACCGAATAGAGATTAGGCGGAATGACCGGCTGAGCGCGGCCCAGTAATGGGAAGTATGAATAGGTTTTAAAATACAGTGGTCAATGTATTTTTGGAAAAGAATATTCAAACAATATACACATAATATAGCAATGGCCAATTGGCTGACTATAAGGTCATGGCCTGAACAAACAATTTTTTTTAAATAGTCAAGTGATGCTAAAGCAGAGCACAAATGTGTAATAAGTTAATAGATTAAAAAAACTGATTCATGTGATGCATTCGCAGAGCACAGATAAAAATACTGATTCAATGATTAAAATTATAGCTGTGAGTGTCAATAAATTACTGTGTCGTAAAAAAAGGAACGATGTACACGTGATCTGAAATACCAATATCTCAATATCAAAAGGATAGTGTCTAGAAACATTCATAGTCCATGGTGGCAGGTATCAAGTTAAACGAAGTTACACTGACTGGCAATGTATACGATTGCCGTCTCCCTCTCTCACCCCTGACCGCTATCAGGGTGCTCCTGAGGATTGAGAATCTAATCCTGGTGCGCATGTAACACATAATAGCCGCATAGTCTTCTCCTCTCTTCTGGGATAGTTTTTCAGCGAGTCTCTTGTGGTATCTTGTGGCTTGTGGACCCCATCCGCCATTTGTTGAGTATATAAGTGGAGTAAAGGTGCCTTTTTCCACCTGGATGATTCTGTTGTTGTACTTTTTCATTTTCCTCATTTCATGAGCTTTATAGATCTGTTCCATATCTTTTTTGTCATATGTGGGTGAGTTGGGGTGGGTAACACAGACATCAAAGAATGTTCGTTCAAATGTGCTCCAGAGACCTCGTGAGGATACATCAGGTGCAGCTCTATCAGCATTGGTACCAACAATTTCTTCATTATCAAGGGGTATCAATGCTGGCTCAGTCACTACATCTCTGCATACTTCACGCTGCAGCTCTGCATTTAGATCGCGGATGTTGTTGTGTCTCATAGAAACATAGCCACCTTTCTTGCATATAAGTGTGTGATTCACATTATTTCTATCTCCACAAGCACAGTGAAATGGGGTGTTAGGGATCTCCCAACCATAACGCAAGTACAGAGCATCACGGAACTCAATCTTGTTCAGGGAGTAGCCAAATCTCTTCAATGGAAGTGCAGTAAGCCAACATCCTGAACCTTTCTCTTTGATGAACTGGAGGGATCTCTTTAGGTTGGGATCTCTTACACTGTCCTCTATTGATTTGCTAACCGTAAATAAGTGTTTCTCCTTGATTGCCTTGAGACTTTTTATAGTGTCATTTTGAATTGACATGTTGTAATGTTCAAGGGTGTTTTGCTGGTTGATAATCAGGTCTGTGAGGTCTTTTGTGATGGTGACTGAGGCTGTGAATTCTCTATTGCAGTTTTCAACTGGGTTGGAGATACCTAGGCCACCATGTCTGACTGGCAGTGCAAATATGGAGCGGTCCAAGTCTGATACGTTCTTACCCAAGATTGCTGGAATAAAATCTGTTCTGATGCAATCCTCCAATGGTTGAAACAAGTGACTTATACCCGGGATGGTCCTCTGAATGAACGTCCACCGGTGACAAATTCCCTTAGTATATGCATCAGCATTTACATGGAGGAACAAGTTACAAATAGAGGCATCAGAAACTGGAAACTGAAGGTTATGACGGGAAAAAGTGGAGCGAAGGGATAGATGAGATCCCGATAGAAACAAACATTTCTCCAGCAGACCTTTCCTTGCCAGAGGCGAACATAGATGTGTCCAAAACCTACCAACTGAGTGTCTTTATCCTGAACAAGGACCCTGACTACACTAACTAATTTTATGAAGGAAGCCATCCAACAAGGGACTCTATAAAATCAGAGTTTATCTCCACAGTCACCTTCCCGAAACCTACCCTGAATTGATAAAGAGCTCTGTGAGCGGTTGCAACACTTTCAAGACTTCAGAGCACGGCAATGTGCTAAGTGCAAAGAATCAGACTTTTAAAGTCGCTCTACTTCAAGTCCTTGCCCCAGGATGACTCTTCACAAAGAGCTGGTTCCTGTGTTCTGTTTCGGAGGACAGGCCAGGGATTTTGTGGGTGTTGAAAGAATTAAAAAACTAGTTTTCGATTTTGAACTTTAAAAATTTAGTGGTTGAGGAGGTGGTGTGATATACATTTCTTGCAAGGTACAATCTGACGGAAAGTAAAACTTATGTTAGCTCATTACGATTGTGAAAAGAGTTTATAACGATATTATGGTTTAGGAAACTGGTTTTTAAAAAAGTAAGTTTTTAATAATTGTATTCTTCAAATTTATAGTGTGCTTAAGTATTTAATGCGGTTTTATTTGATGGACTTGTAATTAATATTTATGCTTTTCCGTAATTTTATAATTATAACAACTTTCTCAGCTAATTGTATACTATTTTTAACAGCTGGTCACTCGAATGGATAACTCGGAACGAGAAAATTTGTATTAATTATGTGATTTCAGTGCAATGAAATTCCCTGTACATTTCGCCAATGTCTAGGTACTCCTCTTATTACTGAACTCTCTTGTCTCAGATATTAGCAATGAAGGTCAAATGTTTGTGACCATACAAGTGTCTATCTGTTTCCGAGGTAACCCTTTCAAACATTCTGTGTTTATAACCGTTTGATAAATATAAACTCATGTACCCTGTATAATATGAAAAAATTCTGATGGGGGCTGGAAAGCGGATATCATAAAATTGTTTGTTTCTAAGAGATACGACTTTTTTAAGGTGGAACCCCAGCTCGGAAACTCCTTATGATGATCTGTTGGCGAAACTGATCGACTGCTCACAAGAACCGATACATGTTAGTTTACTTAGCGAGGCGGAATTATTCGATGTTTATTTATTGTTTCTTCTTTTGCCAACGAATCGTACTTTATAGGTTGAACTTTAGTTTAAATGTTGAAGCCAATCGCTCTTCGTCGTGGTAGCAGTTAACCAAATCAGCTTCCAGCAGCAACGATAAATGTAAGAGTCATCCTTTCATCGGAAACAAATTGGGCTCGCCGGTTCCACTAATAACCAAAAATCTACAAGTCTTCTTCCCCGACTGGTGATTTCTGCATGAGCTGGAAGGATGATGAAGGAGGACGTTATTGTGGTGAGCGTAACGGTGAACTTTAACTAGCTGCTCTGGAGGAGTGTTCAGGAGCTCCTCAACTCCACTCTCAAGTTGAGCATCAAAATGTAGGCTTTTAGAGCTCTGGAAGGTAAACGTTGTCTTCTCCACTCTCAATCAAAATATCTTAAAACATTTAATTTAATCTTTAACAGGTTAATGTTTAATAAAAATCTATTTCCAGTGACGGTTAGTAAAGCTAAAGGTGTTCGGAGGTCACTGCAACAAAATGAGGATGAAGAAAGGTAAGAATGGAGGAAGTATGTGCTCCCCAACGGGAGGAACCCTGGGGCCGGACACCACCCTGAGTCACATGTGATGGTTGTGAGGGGACCCGTACATGGGGGACCTCGGATTGGAAGGCTCTGTCTGACCTGACTTTGATTTGTGTAAACCCTGCCAAAAACGAAATAGGCAACCACTCCGAGCATAGCTTCGTCAAGATTCCTTTCCGGCTAAGGTAAATTTGTAAGTTTCGTTGTTTGGTTTAAATCGGATTTTGTTTGATTTCTATTTCTTCACTCTACACTGTTAAGTATACTGGTATAATATACTTTTACAAATATTCAGCCAGCAATCCTATACCTACGCTCCCTTGTCTGTGATTTTAGAATTGTATAAATTATCATGTTATGATTTCCAGGGAGGACAGTGTGGCACTATGAATCCTATGATTGATGCCAATCCACTCACAAGTGCGGTCCTTGAATTGGAGCTGAAAGATGATTCGTGACAGGGTAAACAAAGGAATTGACTGAGGGCTGCAAATTACAAACTGCAGACAGTACGTTTCAGATAACTGGATCGGCGAAACAATTCTATTGAATTCTGAGCATTCCGAGAAGGATCATGCTGAGAAGGACGAAACTCCCGGCCAAATGTGGACTCCTGCTGACAGAGGTTGTCGTGGAGAAGAGATGGTTTTTGCCACTGACGATACATGAACTCCCTATCCCCTGAGGAGGGGCCCGTGACTAAGAGTGTGTACCTCTGAGTCTGTACACATTGTGGTTGACGATGGAATCAGAGTTACCATCAGGCAGTGCGACGTGGGACCTTTGTTTGAATAAAATTAAAACCTCACAATGACCTTGTTGTTGTTCAGGTTAATACCCACCTTAACAGTTATTCGAATTTATTAGCCAGCTTAAGTTTTAGGAATCAGTATGAACACTTGGTGTGGTTTAACCTTGTTTGTCGAATATTAACTGGGATGAGAGTAACGACTAACGCGTGTTACTCTCAATAAGTTTCAATCTGAGCTATTGTAAATATTTTTCTTTCAGACATGACTGAGGAATTCCCAGATTGAAGACATCGAAATTGTCTACAACGTGACACTTTCAGACGGATATGGTAAAAGTAAGATTTGAATAAAACCACAGGACCAATCAAGATTAATTTGATATTGGATGACAATGTACGAATAGTTATAGTTGTTTACATCCGTTCATTCACTCCGTTTCAGTTTACCCTACTCTAGAGGGGGGAAAAAAAAGATTCAGCTCCTGCTCCCTCCAGCTGCTGCTCCCATCCTCCCTCCCCTCTGACACCACTCCTGCTCCGCCCCACTCCTGACTCCGGTGGGTGGTGCTGGGAGACTCTTTAACTGATGCTCCTTTCACTCCCCCTCCTCCGCTCCTGTGTCCGTAATCCCATTATAACTTTCTCGTAAGTACCTCAACATTAACTTTATTCTGCCATTATAATGGTAATGTCGTCAATCCATTTATGTAAACTATTACTGTAACTAATTAGGATGGCTGTTCGAGTGATTTCGGCAGATGCTCTGGCGGAAACGTACGAGGTAGATATCTACATCGAACGCAAAAGAAGAAGGCACAGCACTAATCTTCACTCTAGCTACTTTTAATGTTGGGTATTACTTCTCCAGTTAAACGGGATGACTTTTGAGAGATTGCTATTATCGTAAAATAGACATTTTCGCTGTGCAAGAACCAAAAATGTCGTCACTTGAGGATTCAGTTTTTGCATTTACAGATGATGATGGGAAATAACAAATATCGCTTCATAAACTTTCAGACCACATATCACCCTATGTCTATACCCTCGTCCACCAGCTTTCCCCCAGGGTCAGGGTCAGGGTCAGGGTCAGGGTCAGGGTCAGGGTCAGGGTCAGGGTCAGGGTCAGGGTCAGGGTCAGGGTCAGGGTCAGGGTCAGGGTCAGGGTCAGGGTCAGGGTCAGGGTCAGGGTCAGGGTCAGGGTCAGGGTCAGGGTCAGGGTCAGGGTCAGGGTCAGGGTCAGGGTCAGGGTCAGGGTCAGGGTCAGGGTCAGGGTCAGGGTCAGGGTCAGGGTCAGGGTCAGGGTCAGGGTCAGGGTCAGGGTCAGGGTCAGGGTCAGGGTCAGGGTCATAACTGAGACCCATATGGTAGAATTCATCCTTATCATTATGTGAAGCCCCCTCAGTTGGCGCATATGCCACAACAACAAAAATGTTCAGGTGTTGACTATGCAGCCTTGCACTCAACAAACGTTCAGATATTGGTAGATAGGAAATTAATGACTTTGTAATCCTCTTTGAAAGGGTAAAACCGACACCTCGCCTTCTTATACCGTCCGTTCTCTCTGAATAAATAAGTAAGGAGCCATTATCCAGTAACCCTGTTCCTGTACCAGGCATATGGGTCTCAGTTATACCCAGCAAGTCCAACTTATACTCAGAGATATTCTCTGATAGCTGGAACAACTGACTTGAACTACTGGTTAGAGATAATACATTCCATGTACTAGCAGGAACCCGTATAAACCTAAAATAGTGTCAAGACTCAAGAGACTAAAATAATTATTACCTATTTAATTCGCGTTTTTGACACCGCTTGGGGGTTCAAATTTTGCGCTCTAAAACTCCTATTCCTTGGCCTATTTTTTATTTTTTCATGCTGATTTGGAGGCCATTAAAGCATTTGAGAGGTTATTGATTCACGATCACTATTCCCTGAGATTAAAAATAATCCCTTGCCACCTACATCAACAACTACATTATACTTTGTTTGAATCCCATCTCTCTTACTGTATATCTGTCTGGGGTGGAGCGGCGAACCAACGTATAAGCTCTCTGTTAACCGTCCATATTCCCATAGGTACTGTCTTAAGGTTCTGTTCGGTGATAGGGAAGCTTACCTAGATAAGTTTAAGAACTGTGCACGTACTATACCAATAGGGCACCAAAAACTTGACAACAAGTTTTTCATAAAAGAACATACTAAACCGCTATTCAAACATAATAATATCCTAGCTATCCAAAATCTTTATACAGGGTGGGCCAAAAGTCAGTGTGCAAACGTTGGGTCTTATACCTCCGCCGTGTTTTATATTTGAGAGCTGTTGCTTTGCAGATGGCATACTGTACTTACTGGTTCGAACTTCGAGGATTCCTTCGTCAAAATTTGAAAATTCGAATATTTTATATATCGTTTTCTCTGAACAAGTTGAGATAGCTGCTAAAGCTTTGAAGAATGGTAGAGCCACTGGGCCTGATGATATCCCAAGTGAATTGATTAAGTATGCAAACAGAAGTGTATTTCAGAAATATGCAGACTGTATAAATACCGCATTTGAAACAAACACCACCATAACATCTATTGGAAAAGGCAACATTACTCCACTCCAAAAGCCTAAGAAACCACTTGGTCCAGCAGCAAACATCAGACCTCTCACCCTCCCAAACTGCTCCAGAAAATTACTGTCAATGATTACCCTAAAACGTATCCAAGGCAAGCTAGATCAGTACACCGGTCCTACACAAAGTGCTTACAAGAGAGGTAGAAGTTGTGGCGATATAATTTGGTCTCAACGTATGCTAACCTCAGTGGTACTTAGAAAGCATTGGAGCTACCACAGAATGAGTATAGACATGTCAAGTGCCTTTGACACCATCAGCAGAGAAACAGTACTCAATGTTCTTGAAGATGCTGGCTGTACTAGTGATGAAATTAGGATGGTACGGCTCCTACTATCAAACACAGTGTTGAAAGTAAAAGTCAATAATACTGTATCAATTGAGTTCCAAAGCACAACTGGAGCATTTCAAGGAGATGCACTATCAGGTAATCTATTTACTGTTGTTGAAGCCGCTGCACTTATTCACCTCAGATCTGTACTCTCCCAAGTATCATCAACACCTTACCCAGTAAATCATCCAATCCCTAATCCTCCTATCTCAGAAGAATTCATGCCACTCGAAACAGGATACTCTGATGATATTGACTTTAATAACACTGAACTTGCTCCACTCAAAGAAATGCTTCCTATCGCTAAAGATATATTCCAGCAGTGGGACCTTCATATCAATTCTTCCAAGACTGAATTTGTCCATTTTTATTTAGCAGATCCTAAACCCACTGTTAAACGCAAGGTGATTGTTGGAAAAGTGTATAGAGGTGATGAAGAGTGGCGCTCTAACAAAACTTTAGGATCGTTGATGTGCACTGTTAAGGATATCAAGAATCGAATATTCCTTGGTAATGTTGCCTTTAGTAAATTTCAGAAAGTTTGGATGAAGAGCAAGATTTCAGTCCAAAGGAAGATCAAAATCTACGAGGCACAAGTAGTCTCTATTCTACTCTACAACTGCAACTCCTGGGCTGCACCACTAGCTTCGTTGAATGAACTTGATATTTCTCATCGCAAACACCTCCGAAGAATCCTCAACATCAGATGGCCTACTGGGGTTATTTCTAATGAGGCACTCTATGCTCGTTGTTATGTCACTCCCTTGTCTGTGAGAGTCTCTAAGTTTCGATGGAGAATGTTAGGACATATCTTAAGAGGACAGGAAGACTCACCAGCATACACCTCTATGTTATTTGCTATAAATTCTGATATTTTTATGGAAGGGAGACGGGGTAGACCATGTTTAAACTTATTAGATGTTATTAGAAAAGACTTGACTAGTAGAAATCTTGATATTAGACTTAAGAATTTGACTGATTTCGAAGACCTTAGATTTTTGGCTTTAGATAGGGAGGAATGGAAGAAGTTAGAAGATGGTTGATGTTTTTGTTTTCTTTTTTATGCGTTTTGATATCTATAAGGTGCCTAGGATGCTCTTTTAAAGAGATATTTCGTACTTTGAAAGATTTACTACTTACTACTTTCTCTGAACATGCTGAACGACTAATTTTTACAGAGACGGTAGATTATCAAATGTTGCATATGATCTGAAAACATAAGGCAAAACAGATTAGAAATGACGAAGTTATTAAGCATTTTCTGTATCTCGTTAACAAAATTGACACCGTGACACGACACCTTAATTGGGCACCCTTAACAATAACAATTCCCATAATGTTTAACGGGGTAGTTAACGGGGTCACCTTATCACGTGATTAGGTAAACCAATCACCTGATCACACGTAATGAATAAACTCGTTATGCTTCATATCTCGGTCATCTGAGAAGCTACAGTTCTAATTCTTTCAGGACAAACGTAATTCGAATGGCCAAACATAATTCAATAACATTTAGCTTGATCCGACTATCCAAACTATCAAATAAATGTGAAAATGAACCTCCATTTGAAAAAAATGAACGCGAATATTTTTCGAGTTGACAAATTCCTCGAACCAGTGGTGGTACTAAGTCATACCAAAAGGAAGTATTTCAATTGGGCACTCAGTGACTGAGCTATTAAGGCCAACGTTTGCACACTGACTTTTGGCCCACCCTGTACATACCACTGTTACTTCGAGCTCTACAAGATAATGAAATTTCGTGCTCCAATATCTTTACATGAAGGCTACACGTATGCTCGGCAAGGACGCGCTCCCTACTTATTTGTCAGGCTGACTCACCTGACAACCACAATACAAGATCAACCAAATTTTTTAACATGATTTACCCTAAAACTTATAATGGCTGACTTTACCATGAGTGTGATGTGGGGAAAGCTTAAACGTGCACTATTAAATAATCAAAATAGCCACGCCCTGCTTGATTAGACCGTAAAAGATTTTGACTGCAACATTGTCTTCCAAAGATCACTACTTGCTTGTCAAACACATCTCAACGAAATTCTCCTAGTCTAGTGTTTTCCAAGTCTTGTCCTCTGAGTAAAGTATGTGTGAGAAAGTTTTTAATAAAATGAATGTATAATTTTGAATTTTTAAGATTTAATTTGAGAATGAAGTATAAAGAAATTTGTAATTAGCACTGTATAGTTTAAGATATTAATAGCTTATTATAACCATTGATACAAAGGCCATCATTTTTCACCAGCTCTCCAATATCCATTGCATCTTGAAGTTGCATTATATATCCTAAAACTACACAATATAAACTTAAGTATATTATAGTGTAGACTTTCTGTCACAACAAGACTGCAACCCATAGTAACAAATCCCCTGCATAGTAACAAGCCCATAGGTTCCTCCTATTAAAACATTTTTGATTTTGGTAAATGTGTGCTGACTCCACCACCTATGTATTTAACCTAATATTTAGTGTATTACAGGTAGACATTGACTTAGGTAGGTATTTTATCTTAGGTAGGTATTAAGAATTTGGTAAATTTCTTAATTGTATGACCATGACTATTTCCATTATTGAGACGTTTTTAATATTTAATATAAGAGGGTTTTTGACATTTTTATAGGACTGGTTCACAGTGTGAAAAGATTCCAGATTTATATATTTTTAAACTGATATTTAATAAATGATTTAAAGAACTAATTTTAAAGTTGCCATACTAAAACCTTTAGGTCCAAAAATATACACATTATGCTCACTTAAAAACAACTCTAAATCAGTAGGCTGTCACTCTATTAATGCACCACACCGCTACCTCCACTGCACTAAAAGTTATACAATAAATTCTACAATCCTAATTTTGTATCGTGATGGAGACCGGTATACAAAACATTTATTAGGTTGCCGTTTGGTGTGAGCAATAGCGAACAGCACGCGCACTCCTTAGCCCCGTCAACCTATAAGTATATCTAATCTATTTAAAGAGTGACAACCATATACTACACTTTGAATTGGGATTCCTTTAAATATCAAATTGATTTTTTGTAAAACGTTATGTTCATGTGGTTATCGTTTACATGTTCGAGTTGGTAAAATGTTCCTGCGGTTTTCCCCAATGTTCCGGTGGCGTTGCATTGGGATTAGTGACCATTTGCCACAGTGAAGGGGACTTCACTGGGTAACTTAGCCTTTTGAAAAACAGATATGGTTACAACGAAAAGCGCTAGGGTTCAAACCCTACCAGGCCTATCGACTCAATCGAGGATCAGTACAGTTATGACTCGGTTGTCCTAAACCCACATAGTGGACGGGCAGCTGATAATGTGTTTATGAATCCTAGAAAGCCAACAGAAAACATCAAAAAACAAGATAGAGAGGCACAAGAAGGGAGTCCACCTAATAACAAATTCAGCATGGAGAAACAGAGCACAAGCGTCTACAGGAGGAGTGGGATTCCTGCTGACTAAACAAGCCTTTAATGCAGTTAGTCTTATCAAAACCTATAGTAAGCGCTGCATGCTTGTGTCGTTGGACGGAAACCCAAGATTAACCATAATCTCTGTGTATAGTCCAACGGAATCCGCAACTGTCGAAGAAGCCGAAGAGTTTCACGACTGCGGCAGTAAGGGAGGTCCCCTCTCATCATCTACTACTTGTAGTAGGAGATCTTAATGCTCACCTCAGCAAGTTGAATGGTGAAGATACGGGATGGTACTGGCATCAAGTGACCAATCGTAATGGTCATCTGCTCAGGGATACACTGCTGGAGGGAGAGTTAGAGGAGACGAATCATCGTTTTCAGAAGAGTCCTGGTAAGCAGTGGACTCACCTCTCAGATGGAGTACTAACTAGGAGCCAGATTGACTATGTCCTGGTACGGAAGAAGTGGAGGAACTCAATAAAGAACATCGAGCCATGCAACTCTTTCAATTCCCTGGGCTCTGACCATCGGGCAGTACTCTCAACTGTAAAGCTCAGTCTTCGAAAGAGCATAAGTCCACCACGGGTCACACGTTACGACTTCAGTCGTCTCAAAACTGATCAAGAGTTACAGATCAAGTATAGAGTTGAAGTTAGAAATAGGTATAGTGCACTCTTGAGTGAGGAACAACTAGATCTTGGTCCTACTAATGACGTCACCACTAAGTATGGAAAGTTTATTGAAGCATTGAAGTATGCAAATAGGAGGCATCTTCCGCATAAACCTAAGAAGCGGTATGACGATCCTGCCAACGACCCAAGAATAGAGGAAGCCAGAAGCAAATTGTTTGCTGCCAAGGAGACCTACCATCTGGATCCTTGTGAAGACAACAGACAGACAGTTGCCGAGGAGAAAGACACTCTCTCTGCATGCTACCGTACTGTGGAGGAAGAGCTGCTTAAACAGAAAATAAGTAAAGCTGAAAACGCAGCCGATAGATGCAAGAACAAAGAAAGCTGGAATCTTGTTAATGAGGTCAGTGGGAGAAAGAAGAACCCATGTGGTCTTGTAGAAGGAGGTAGTAGAGAGGGTAGATTGAGAGCCTGGAAAGACCACTTTACCAAGCTACTTGGACAACCTCCAGTAGTTCCAAACGAAGAAGTGGACATACCAGTCGTACATCCACCACAAAACATCAGTGTGGATAAGTTTACCAAGACCGAACTGGAGGAGGCTACGAAATCGATTAAAGAAGGTAAGGCATTTGGAGAGGATGGAGTTGCCCCTGAAGTACTGAAGAGGGTAAATGTTGATGATTTGATCCTTGACTTCTGCAATAAAGCACTAGTTGATGGCGATGTTCCTGACCAATGGAAGCACCTAAACATCGTGCCTGTTCCAAAGAAAGGGAATTTGACCAAAGTAGATAACTATAGAGGTATTGCACTGACATCTATAGTGAGTAAGACTCTCAATAAGATGATACTGAACAGGATCAAACCTGCCATGGAAGACATCTTAAGGATCAATCAGAACGGATTCAGAGAGAGTAGGTCAACAACTGGTCATATTCTTGGCCTAAGAAGGGTATTCGAGGGAGCCCGGGATAAAGATCTGACCGCGGTAATGCTCTTCATTGATTTCAAGAAGGCATTCGACAGCGTGCACCGTGGACTCCTCATGAAGATCCTCTTGGCATATGGAATTCCCAAGGAAATTGTAGGCTTGATACAAAGAATGTATGCAGATACATTTGCTCGAGTGATTACCGAGGATGGTCTGAGTGAAGCATTCTTCATTCTAGCAGGAGTGATGCAGGGAGACACTTTGGCGCCCTACCTATTCATAATCGTAATTGACTACATTATGAGGGTGTCCTTAGAGGGTAGGGACTTTGGGTTTACTCTACACCCTAGAAGAAGCCGTCGCTATCCGGCTGTCAAGGTCACTGATGCGGACTTTGCTGACGACCTTGCTCTTATAACAGATAGTGTTGCGGAGGCACAAGATTTTCTCAGGAGTCTGGAACTGGCAGCCAACTCAGTTGGACTCTACCTCAGCGAGGGGAAAACTAAGTACATGGGAATCAACATAAGAGATGACGATAACCCGACTCTGGTTGCTGGGAGTGGGAAGAACATTGAGAAAGTCGATGACTTTGTATACTTGGGTAGTAGAATGAAGAGTTCGGAGAAGGACTTCGAAGTGAGGAAAGCTAAGGCATGGGGAGCGTGTCACCAGATGAAGCTTGTATGGAAGTCGGATATGCGTAGAGATCTCAAGATACGACTGTTCCTGGCTACAGTCGAGTTCATCCTTCTATATGGCTCTGAAACATGGACTGTCAGCCAGACCCTCGCAAAACGTATAGATGGATGTTATACGAGAATGCTGAAGATGGCACTGAACATTGACTGGAAAGAGCGGCAGACTAACGCCAAGGTGTATGGACACCTCATCAGAGCATCTCAAAAGATAGCTGCACGGAGGATGAGACTCGCAGGTCATTTAGCCAGACATGAAGAACTATTGAGTCATGAACTTCTCTTCTGGGAACCCCTTCAAGGACATCGTCGAAGGGGAAGACCACATCTCACATATATTGACATTCTTCGGAAGGACACGGGGCTTGACGACAGCATGGAGATTAACAAACTCATGCTGGATAGACAGATTTGGAAGAAAACTATCTCTGTTCGGACGTTGAAGCCGCCCTAAGTCGAGTAAGTCGAGTTATTGTAAACTTGTTTACTCTGTAATAAATGGCATAAAATTGAAATTTTTGTTTAACTGAAATTGTTGTTTAACTGAAATTTTTGTTTAACTGAACAAATATGAACAAAACCCCTCATGTCTGCTAACAATTTCCTTTTGATCATAATGTGAGCCTTGTCTTTAAAAACTCAACTGAACTAGCGTTTCGGTGTGTGCAAAAGATTTCAGGCACGCAAATTTCATGCCCCGTTAGTTACCTTACCTGTACCTCCAAAATTAAACGAACAGTCAAGGAAAAAAAGGACGAAGGCCAGGGAGCTCCTGAAAGTTTATTTCTCGTACAAATTCCTTTATTACATACAATATATTGGCCAATCTAGTAAAATCCGTAAAGTTTTATTTCATTCGTGCGCCGGGATATCCAGCAAAATCCATTTAAACCTGTGACGTCACTTTAGCCTATCCGCGCATATAGAAATACAGTGATGAGTGATAATGAGCTTTTGTAGCGCTTAATGCGTTACTGAATACTGAGCAGCGCCGCGCACTCAATAATGCTTCTCGTTAAATCGGCGAAATGCGCTACTGGGCTTCGCCGAGCTGCGAAGAATTGACATCGTCAATTAAATAATAAGCGTACTTACTAATTAAGAATATCTCAGCAGTTTACGATACTGTCGAACCTAAAACAAATGGAAAGGAGACTTTTTGTGACCGGTTGAAAAAATTTATTAGCCTAGAATAACCATGAACACGTGAGATAATATTGCAGTCACACAGAAAGGCAATAGGCATGTGAATTATTTATACTTATATGTTATAGCTCCCAACGTAACCCCTAGCAACTCCCTATATTTTACCACACTTCAAGTTCATATATCAACTTGTCATATCAACATCACATGGTCATAATAAAATTTGACGGATGTTACTCGTCTAGACGTCTAAATTTCTTCAAAGTAGCGCGCGCCGCTTTCTTCTCGGAATTTTAGACGGGCGAGAAACGAAAGATCGAGCGCTCAACTTAGCGCAAACTTGACTAATATATAATATCGCGCGTTACCGCGAACACATTATATCATTTCTGCATATTGTGACACTGTGACAGCACAGATACTGGACAGAGTTGATATTATGAACGTAATCTGGTAAATTCGCTATATCGATTGAATTCTTCATTATGTTGGCATTCAATAAATAGGCTTGGTTAATTTGAATTTAAAGCGGTCTGTTTAAGGCAAGTGCTACGAAGTAGCGCGCGCCGGGCCAGACCATTAACAATGGTCAAAATAAAATGGATCGGGTAGGTATAAAAGGCATGACTTTATTACAGTCGGACAAGCAGCAAGCTTTTAAGTTCTAACTCACTATAAGACACTCACTATAAGACACTATTTCTAACGTAAGATTTGAAAAGTTTACAGCACAAAATATTATACCAAGCATTGCAGACGCACACATCCACATTTTTTGCGCTTCACACACAAGCCACAGCAAATTATAAAAATTATAAAAACGTGCATGTAAAGGTACACACTACACGTGCGGTGTACACGTGCGGAGTTCCCGGAAAAGATGATGCTGAGAGAATATACTTATAAAATTAAAGAACAGGCTCTACCGTTTTGCTGCCTACTGAACATTCTTCGGGATACTGGAGCTGAACGGACTGGATACACACTACACTACACTACACTACACTACACTACACTACACTACACTACACTACACTACACTACACTACACTACACTACACTACACTACACTACACTACACTACACTACGCTACACTACACTACACTACACTACACTACACTACGCTACGCTACACTACACTACACTACACTACACTACACTACACTACACTACACTACACTACACTACACTACACTACACTACACTACACTGCACTACACTACACTACACTACACTACACTACACTACACTACACTACACTACACTACACTACACTACACTACACTACACTACACTACACTACACTACACTACACTACACTACACTACACTACACTACACTACACTACACTACACTACACTACACTACACTACACTACACTACACTACACTACACTACACTACACTACACTACACTACACTACACTACACTACACTACACTACACTACACTACACTACACTACACTACACTACACTACACTACACTACACTACACTACACTACACTACACTACACTACACTACACTACACTACACTACACTACACTACACTACACTACACTACACTACACTACACTACACTACACTACACTACACTACACTACACTACACTACACTACACTACACTACACTACACTACACTACACTACACTACACTACACTACACTACACTACACTACACTACACTACACTACACTACACTACACTACACTACACTACACTACACTACACTACACTACACTACACTACACTACACTACACTACACTACACTACACAAACAAACAAACAAACTGAAATTACTGCAATGTGCATATCTTATTGAACATATTATACCATTTGCATCACAAGGATAGGATGAGCTGCAATGAAATCGGAAATACAAAATATGGAGTCATGGATATTAAATGATATAATATAGGTATACACTATAATATATGAGTATATGGGGTATTTAAATCTAACGCTTCTCGAAAAATTATGAATTTTTTCGACGCAGATCAGGTATTTATATTTATAATTTGTAAAATTAAAAAATTATTCCCAAATCGGAAAAAAAGAGTCGTTCGTCACTCGAGTCAGCGATCAGAAATTAAATGTAATTTTATAGTCTGTGTTCTCTTGGCCAAGGAAGGAAAAGAGCATTACCTCCCCTGAGTAATATGAACTACAATTAACAAACAAACAAACAAACAAACAAACAAACAAACAAACGAACAAACAAACAAACAAACAAACAAACAAACAAACAAACAAACAAACAAACAAACAAACAAACAAACAAACAAACAAACAAACAAACAAACAAACAAACAAACAAACAAACAAACAAACAAACAAACAAACAAACAAACAAACAAACAAACAAACAAACAAACAAACAAACAAACAAACAAACAAACAAACAAACAAACAAACAAACAAACAAACAAACAAACAAACAAACAAACAAACAAACAAACAAACAAACAAACAAACAAACAAACAAACAAACAAACAAACAAACAAACAAACAAACAAACAAACAAACAAACAAACAAACAAACAAACAAACAAACAAACAAACAAACAAACAAACAAACAAACAAACAAACAAACAAACAAACAAACAAACAAACAAACAAACAAACAAACAAACAAACAAACAAACAAACAAACAAACAAACAAACAAACAAACAAACAAACAAACAAACAAACAAACAAACAAACAAACAAACAAACAAACAAACAAACAAACAAACAAACAAACAAACAAACAAACAAACAAACAAACAAACAAACAAACAAACAAACAAACAAACAAACAAACAAACAAACAAACAAACAAACAAACAAACAAACAAACAAACAAACAAACAAACAAACAAACAAACAAACAAACAAACAAACAAACAAACAAACAAACAAACAAACAAACAAACAAACAAACAAACAAACAAACAAACAAACAAACAAACAAACAAACAAACAAACAAACAAACAAACAAACAAACAAACAAACAAACAAACAAACAAACAAACAAACAAACAAACAAACAAACAAACAAACAAACAAACAAACAAACAAACAAACAAACAAACAAACAAACAAACAAACAAACAAACAAACAAACAAACAAACAAACAAACAAACAAACAAACAAACAAACAAACAAACAAACAAACAAACAAACAAACAAACAAACAAACAAACAAACAAACAAACAAACAAACAAACAAACAAACAAACAAACAAACAAACAAACAAACAAACAAACAAACAAACAAATCTTTGTGATGATAATTAACAATCAGCTAATTACCAAAAAAGCAGGAAAACTTCGAAAATTTATCGCTCGCGCGGGGGGTACTAAAAGCACCAATATAAATATTTGATTAAGTTGGAGTTCAGTAAATCTGTTCTTTGTAGGAGTAAATACCTAACCTGTGTTTATTTATAACTTGCTATTTACTTTAGTACTAACGAAATACTTAATACAGTGCTGACTGATAAATGATTTAGCAGTCAGCACTGCATTTAATAGGTATTTATAGTGCCAACTTTCCTCTAATACTATAAATGATTAAGCAATGAACCAGTGATAAAAGGTGTGCGTACAAAATAATTGAAATTACTGCAATGTGCATATCTTATTGAACATATTATACCATTTGCATCACAAGGATAGGATGAGCTGCAATGAAATCGGAAATACAAAATATGGAGTCATGGATATTAAATGATATAATATAGGTATACACTATAATATATGAGTATATGGGGTATTTAAATCTAACGCTTCTCGAAAAATTATGAATTTTTTCGACGCAGATCAGGTATTTATATTTATAATTTGTAAAATTAAAAAATTATTCCCAAATCGGAAAAAAAGAGTCGTTCGTCACTCGAGTCAGCGATCAGAAATTAAATGTAATTTTATAGTCTGTGTTCTCTTGGCCAAGGAAGGAAAAGAGCATTACCTCCCCTGAGTAATATGAACTACAATTAACAAACAAACAAACAAACAAACAAACAAACAAACAAACAAACAAACAAACAAACAAACAAACAAACAAACAAACAAACAAACAAACAAACAAACAAACAAACAAACAAACAAACAAACAAACAAACAAACAAACAAACAAACAAACAAACAAACAAACAAACAAACAAACAAACAAACAAACAAACAAACAAACAAACAAACAAACAAACAAACAAACAAACAAACAAACAAACAAACAAACAAACAAACAAACAAACAAACAAACAAACAAACAAACAAACAAACAAACAAACAAACAAACAAACAAACAAACAAACAAA